TGGCTGGGGAACCCCTTGGGATTCCCCCGGAGGAACTGGCCCAAGTGGCTGGAGAGAGGCAAGTCTAGGCCTCTCGACGCTACTGCTCCCGCAACCCGACTCCAGATAAACGGATGAAAATGGATGGACAAATAACAGATTTACATGTAAGTAGTTTAAATAGAGTGCTGTGCTGTTTGAATGTATAAACTGAACACCAAGAGAAATCACTAGTCTGATTTTTTTTCCGTGAATAAAATAAATATGTCAGGCAGGAGCATCTCAGGATCTGTCTGAGATCTGTCTCGGTGACACAGATAATGGCAATCCAAAGTGCTTTTTATGTGTGATCTGACAATTGATCAACCATTGCTTAAAAATTAAATACAGCTTAGCCGGTTAATTGCTGTGATCATAAAACACGTAAACGGCAGCAAGCAGAACTCACGAGGCAACGTTTTACATGATGTTTACTTATTGCTATGTGTAATAAGACAGAAAAAGACACGCCAAAATAAGTTTAGGAAGCCCACTAAGAATCGTAATAAAAGCATTTAAAATAAATACCATACACAGTTGAGGAAACGTTGGTTTAAGTACCTGATAGGAATTTGTCGCAGCATAAGCAAAAACCTTTACTCTTGGGGGTATTTATCATTTTAGCCTGGTCACTAGTGCATTTTATTACAATGATCCAACGTTTGTGGCGCTCCTGATCTTGGGGAATCCTGTAGATGGCTCATTCCTTATGTCGTCCGTGTCTGTTCTGCATCCTGGGGCACAACAGGAATCCACCATATTTCCTGTTTGATTGAGTTTTCTGACAATAACAAATAGTCCAGCTGCGGCCTTCTGCCTGCCAATATGGCGCCGTTTCGATTTGAACTGTTGCATGCTGGGAGAAGTGACGTCAACTCCAGGAGCTCTATTGTTCTTTTATGCATGCAAGTATATATACTTTTTGGGTCATTATCTTGCTGTAGGATGAACCCCTGGCCAACTAGGCGCATACCAGGGGGTACTGCATGGCGTTGGACAATGCTGTGGTAGCCATTTTGGTTCAGGGTGCCTCTCACTCTGTACAAGTCACCGACCCTGGATCCAGCAAAACAGCACCACACCATCACACTTCCTCCTCCATGTTTGACAGTCGATGCCACACACTGTGGAACCATCCTTTCACCTACTCGACGGCATACAAAGATCCTGCGTGATGAACAGAAGATTTCAAATTTGGATTAATCAGTCCATAATACCTTCTTCTAGTTTTCAGTAGTCCAATGGCGGTGTTTCATGGCCCAGGCAAGCCTCTTTCTCTTGTTCTGACGTCTTAGCAGTGGCTTTCTTGCCGGAACTCGTCCAGTCAAACCTGTAGGTCGAAGCCTTCTCTTCACAGTTGAAACTGAGACTTGCTTACTACGACCACTATTAAGCTGTGCTTGAAGCTTTTGTCCTGTGAGCCGCCTATCACACAAACTCTTGACTCTCAGAAACATGTCCTCTGATGCAGTTGTGGCTTTGGGTCTGCCAGACCTTTTCCTGTCAGACTTCGCCCCAGTTTCTGAGTGCCTTTTCATGGTGAAGGAAACTGCACTCACTGACACCTTGACTTTTCTTGCAATTTCTCTGTAGGATAGACCCACATTTTTAAGTGTTATGATGGTCTGTCTCTTTTCTATTGTTAATTACCTTTTTCCCACCATTTTTTGTAGCAACATACAATTATCTGCAGTACTGATGCTCACAAGGGTATGGTACCACAGTATGTTCCAACACTGATTTTATGCAGAAAGAGGGGGTTGTAAGTAATCCAGAAAAGTTGTAACACCTTTGGAATTAGTAGCACCGGCTTTCAAGGCTTGATCAACCTCCATTGCTGCAGAATAGCGGTGTTCCCTGAAAAAGGCCGTTTTGTATAATTCTGAAATGTACATCATTTTTCCGTTCTGAGTAACCTTACCTTTTTTAACATCTGGCAGTTCACCACTTAACTTTGTACCATTTCAAGCTATTCAGTGGACTTGAAAACCTGCAATAAATAACTGGAAAAATTAGGGCAACCTAAAAATTTTTGATCTGTGTCAAACTCCAGTCCTGCATCTTTCTGTTTCCCTGTTCCAACACAGTTGATTCAGTGCAGCAGCTCATCAAACTCTCCAGAAGGTTGGTAATCACCTGCTGATTGAAATCAGGTGTGTTGAAAAAGAGAACACCAACATGTGGGAAAGCGGCCCTCGAGGACTGGAGTTCGGCACCTGGGAACTACACTGTTAGACTTAGACCTGTTCTTTTTTTACAATTTTGAAAATCACATTTAACTTTATTTATTAATTTTCTTTTTTTGTCTTAAGAAATCAATGAACTAGTAAATATTCAAAAACAATGCTTGTGTTTTTGATGTTTGTGAGGTCCTACCAATCCTAAATTGCTGGTGGAGATGTAAAAAACAATCACATCAAACAAACAGTTGGTTCTCAGGAGGTTATGAAAACACAAGCTCTCTAGATGCTTGCTCTTTGTAGAAAATGGTGCGTATGCTAAACTAACCGTTATCCCTATTCTCCTGAGGTCCGCTAAATTTGTTTTGAACTTAATTACATGTATTAGATCTAACTTCCAGTTACCTTAATGGCACAATTCAACGTTTTAGGTAGCACTTTTCTGTTTGGTAGAGTTGCTGCACTGGCTTGCTTCCATTTTTTTCCTTTCTATTTTTGAGGAGAATTAAATAATTCAGTGAGCTGCATTGAGCAATTGAAATTCAAGCTGCATAAAGAAATATGTACAAAAGGAGATGAGTGTATTTTTTTGTAGTTTTTATTTATATATATATATTTTTGTTTTTGTTTTTTAACCACAGTCAGTCAAACGAAATTCCCCAGCATTAACTTGTTTTGAAGAATGGGACCCTGTTGTAGTACTAACCTTTTAAGGAGGGTTTCAATCAATCAATCAATCAAATTTGTTTCTAAAGCGCTTTTCAAACAAAGTGTGATTCAAAGTACTTTACAAAATGACCCCAGATTCCCATAACAGGTTAAAAACATTAACAAACATATGCAAGCACATGCACACACACACACACACACAAGTAAAAATTATATTAGGCTGAGTCCAGATGAGCCAAGTATGGTAACGCAAGGAAACGCCATCAGAGGAGCCGTCTGTCCCGGCAGCATCAGGTCTTCCACACTGTCAGGGCGCTCAGTGGAGGGGGAGCATAGACCCCCACCTATAAAACGCCCAGGAAGCTGTGTGTGTGTGTGTGTGTGTGTGTGTGTGTGTGTGTGTGTGTGTTGGAAATTACAACTACTGTTTCATTGTTTTTTTTCACCACTGTCTTCTGTCTTTCTTGTTTTTATTTATTCATTTATTTATTTTTAACTTATTTTCTTACCTGGGTATGGTTTGGCAGCATGATGCATAATTGTTGTCGCTGGTACCTCGCAGCAAGAAGATCGCAGGTTTGAATTTTCAGCTGTAGTGTTGCTGTGTGGAGTTTGCCTTTTCTCATTTATTTGTTTGTGGATTTCATCCAAGTATTTTGGTTTCCTCCCACTGTCAAAGAAAATGAGTGTAAAGTTAGTTGTCCTTAGGTGTGAGTGAGTTAGTGAGTTTAGACTGTAAATTCAAAAAGCATTGATTTATAAAAGAATGATCAGACCTAAATTCACATAGGTTCGACAGGCATTAGCTAACTGTCTGACTGTTAGGATAATAAATGTGAATGATTATCTACACCCTGAAGACCACAAAGTTATTACCTCCATTGGTTCTATTCAAGCAGTGTTGTTACCGCCGAGAGGCATCGATGTAACTGAAGAGCCTGTGTGACTTTGATTGGTAAGACACTGGAGTTAAGAACCCTCGTGGCCCTCAGTAGACTGTGTTGGCAGTGAGGATGATGTGAACTCCAAAACCCCAGTGTGCAGTGATTACCAGATGGCCATGGCAGAAATCTACAGTCTTTTCCCTCACCTGGCTGAGTAAAGACTTCCTCCATTCATGTACCCACAGGAAATGGTCTCAACAGCGTGTCTGCCTTCCCTACGTATGCCAAAACTCTTGTCTCCATCCTCTGCTCATGTCTCTGAAGTGTTTCAGAAAAGGAAAAATAAAAAGGAGGGCAGTGATTTGGGCCACTGAGGTTTAAAAGGGATTGCTCCAAACAAGATAATGGGATTTTGAATGTCCTTATTTAGATTGCTGCCAGGTTGTCATGATTATATTTGATACGTTGTTGTGGAACAAGTTATGGTTCTTTTTAAAATAAGTGTGTGCGCTTTTCATTGTCACTGTCCAAGTTTCAGACACAATTTGCTGGGATAAACTTTTCTTTTGAGGGTTTTATCACCGCCATGGTATTTAGAGAAAAGCATTCTCCTCGAAAGGATTATTCAAATTCATTATTTTGATATTTCTCATGTTTTCTTGACCAGGAATCTTGTGAGTATAGCCTGAGGGTTTAGCACAAAACTTATGGCATATCCTCAGCCAATGCATAAATGCATATTTTTTATCTATTTTTGTGGATTATTGATTTATGTTAATCTGTGGTCTTCGGAAGTACAGTATGAAGAATGCTTGTTTGATTTTGTTTTTGCTTCAGGGTAAACCACAAAATGCTGGAACACTGCACAGACACGTGTAAAGTCATTTTAAGAAGTTTGCCGGGAAGAAGGTCATTTAGGTTTTTTTGGGTTTCTTTTTGTTCCTGCTTGTATCTTATCTACCTTCTGACAAAAGGTTAAAAAAATCAATAGCTATCGAGCAAATAGATAGCATCAGAGCAACAGTTTACTCCCTTATTTGTCTTTCTGTTTGCTTTGTTGGAATGCATTAACCTTACCTAAAGATGTTTTAGGAGCACTGCAAATGCACTTGAACCATTAGATGGCATACGCTAATGCAAAGTCACGAGTTCAGGACTTCTTGCTCGACCAGTGATACTAAACAACGATGAGGAGTGGAGCAACACTTAGGCCTCTGTGAATCAATCCTGTTCTTGTTTTGCCTCCCAGTTCCACCAGTCATCCGAGTTCACCCAGAGAGCCAAGCAAGAGAGCCAGGTGTCACGGCCAGCCTGCGCTGCTACGCTGAGGGCATCCCCAGTCCCCAACTGTCCTGGCTTAAGAATGGCATGGACATTAAAACCAAGCTGTCCAAACAGCTCACCTTGCAAGGTAACAACTCATTACCATTACAATGTTGACTGCTTGGGCCTTTTTATTCTTTCAGTTCTGCTGTCACAGCTGCAGACGGTGGTTTCAAAGGAAAATATAAAAACGTAGAAAATGAATAAACAATAAGACTCCAAATGATTTGAAGGAACATGATGGAAACAAGGCTGAACATGCTAAATACACAATAAGTACTGCCCATCTTGTTTTTATTCATTGCTTTAATAATGCCTATTTTGCTGTTTAATTAAAGGTGTGGTTGACTGAATAAAAATTTTTTAACATCTTAATGGTTATCCCTGATTATAATCTGTCACTCAGAGTTTTTAATGCAGGCTGAACAACAGTCTTTTACACCTATCTCCTGCATTAGCTTCTAATAGAAAATAGATGGTGAAAATCTAGGATTTGAAAAGCCTGAGTATGCTACGTTACACTGTGAGTTGGACTTACCCATATTGACTCACGACTGGTAAGCATGGTGTTTTAGCATTCAGAATCAGCAGAGAATGTCTTGGTGAACAGAAGCTAACTGTTAGCATTAGCAACTCACTCACACGGCAGAAGCTCCTCCAGGCTTGTTATTTGTGGAGATGAAACATCCATGTCCCCGAGCAAACAGTGTTAGACGTAGAGCCACGATGTTTTTATCCAATCTGAGGCTAGATGTTTAAATATCGGGAAAAAAGGCTCCAGATCCTCCCGATTGAAGCACAATTCTGATGTTGCAGATTTGGTCCTGCCTGGCCAGGGCTTTTTTTGTGCCCCGAGTTCTACCTGTAAGGCATTAATTTCTACTAGAGACCACTGCAAATGTATTGATGAAATGAGTAAACTACTCCTTTAATGTTTTCTTATGCTACTATTGTAGTTAGCATGAATATTTTCTAATACAAACACAAATGAATCCAGTGTGTTCCTTTTTCTATCTGTGCTTTTACTTTAACGGGCGTTTATTTTATATGATGGATGTAATGCAGGCCATAGGTTACCAGGTAAACTACGTTTTTAGTCAGATCTATAAAAGAAGGGATAGGAAGTCTGTCCTCTCAACAGGTGGTAGTTCGACTGAAGTATATTGTTTTGTTTTTTTAATTTGAGGAAAGCATTGATTCCTGTAACCTTTTTGCATTTTGAGTTGCTACTTTAAAACAAAATCTAAAAACCAAACTGTATAAACCAGTGACCCGTTCAGCACTCACAGAACCTCCCAAATTAGCCTCATTGTTCTTATGAACTTCAGTCTTAAGTGTCCATGAAACAAGCTCTTTGTTCCTCCTCCAAATGCTGTTACATTTTGATAAAACCGGTAATAAAACAGGAACGACAACTTGCTTAATTTATTTTGTCTTTTTCATTGTTGTTCTCCAAAGCTAATGGAAGTGAGGTGCACATTAGCAACGTGCACTTTGAAGACACAGGTGCGTACACCTGCATCGCAAAAAACGAGGTAGGCGTTGACGAGGACATCTCTTCTTTGTTTGTGGAGGACTCAGCTCGTAAAACACGTATGTAGATGTTTTTGTGTACATTCATTCTGTGTTTAACTTCATAATCCAATATTTTGTTCTTTTTTTTGCACATTTTAGAAAAAAAATAGTTTTTTTACCTGACTCATTTCGACTAAGGCCTCTAGTCATCATCAGAGTTTGCCTTTGTTGGTGGTATCACTTCTGTTTATCCGGGGGCAGCAGACGACGACAGAACAAAGTAATGGATTACATATTTAGATAGTCATAAATTTTTTAATGATTCATGACCAAAGTGAGACTTATTATTATCCTAGTTTTTTTTTCGGTTATTTTGGGATGGAATGATGATGATGATGTCTGTGCTTTTTTAACTATTTAGAATGTTTCCGTAATCTCTGTTTCCAAGTCAAACATTTCCAGTTGAAACTGAGAGATTGACCAAAGCAAAAGAGAGCATGCTAATAATTAAACAATTGAAACAATTTCTGAGTAGGGTTGGGCATCGAGCATCGATTGGCACCAGGACCGTCAGTTTTTCCCAGAATCGTTCAAATATTTTTATTTCGATTCCTAGTTTTGATTCTCAGGCTGCCGACCGGAAGTACAATCTGCGGTATATCTCTGAAAAAAAATATATGATCTGCAAATTCTAAACAACGCCTTTCGGAGCCGATCACACCAGCTGTTTGTCACTCCTCTGCTGCTCAGAAATCCAGTGTGAGCAGCATCGTGCCCACCCACCCAAACTGCGCACCTGCGCGATGAGGAGTTTGACCTAAAATTGCAAAGATGTGGACTAATGCATCTGCCAAACTTTCTCCGTGAGACTGATGTAAAGTTTGCATCCCGCAACAAAAAATACGGCACAGAGGAAGCTCGTTTAAATGTGTAAACTCAGTGGATTTATTACAAGTTTTAAAGAACAAACTGGGTGGCGCAAGGTGAGTTTGGCTCACTGCAGAAATAAAAGCACGGAGCATCAACAGTCAAACGCAGCTACTCTCTAATCACAAAGGCTGAGCAAATAACCTGTAAAATAATTAAAGTCATCATGCTAGATCAGCCTTTCTCTGTGGTGGACGACTGACGTGGGCATACCCAGTTGGAGCCAATCGAGATAATATATAAATAAATAATAATCACATAGGTTGTGAGATTTTTATTAATTTTTGAACTATTTAGTCTGTTGAGAGTTTTAATGTTTTAAATCTGTTAGATTGTTTTTGACAGCAGTCAGTTTCCCTTTAACTGAATCGTTGCTGCGGCATGTAGCCTACATGCTGCAGCATTATTATTATTATTATTATTATTATTATTATTATTATTATTATTATTATTATTAAGTCAACCCTGTTTGTAATGCTTTTGGACCCTGCCCCTTGAAAGAACCGGAATCAGGAATCGATATGAACCAGAATCGAAATGAGCAATTGGAATCAGAATCGTTCAAATTCAAACGACGCCCAACCCTGTTTGAGTGAACTTTTTTTGAGAGAAAATGCAAAATCAATAAATTCCTTGATACTAAATAAATTCTCTATTGTCCAGATTGCTAATGGATTTATTATGTTTTTGTGACTTGCTTTTTTTTTTTAAATATTTGACTAATTATCTCTGACTACCATGTATTTTTTGTGCACATGGGATTTTTTTAATTATTATTTTTTTTGACCAACCTTCAGGGATCAGGTGTTCTTTGAGATTAATTATCTGATTTTATAAGACCAAGTTTGTAACATGAGTAACCTTATTTATATTTGGAAGCATTTCTCCACAAACAATCTCCCTTTGTTCTTTCCCCATGAGAAGAACCGCACGTAATTAACTTTGACCTTCTTAAAAATGTCAGAATTGTTCTTTAGGGCATACCGCCACTTGTTAGTGTGCTGTGAGGCTGATTTTTACCCTTTGGGTAATTAAGGTTCCTAGTTGCAACATCTTTACAGTCAGGTCACACATCACGTGTTGTGTCCCAGACCTGTGCCAGGTCTAACATCTTCAGATGTGATTCCTTCCTCTGCCCTGGCTGCCGGGCATCAGAGATGCTGCTTACTGAGGTCAGAAGTTACCCATGTGCTTTAAAGCTTTTGAAGAACTGCTGTGAGCCAGAATGATGCTCAGAGTTAGATATGGTAGACCCACTTTTGGAGTGAGTAACCCCACAAGACACGACTTTAAAGGAGTGTCGGGATGAGCAGACATGGTTGTACTACTGCGTTATGAAGGAGAGAATAAACAGATTCTAATACACATGGTGTTCTTTGCCCTGAATATTTGACAGACTGAATACCTGACCTGTTCTAGTTTTCCTCTGAATTTCACCTACCGCATCTAGAAAATTGTTAAAAGAGCAAATGGAAGCTGACTATTTTTCTACCCCTCTCTCTCTTGAAACTGCTGTTTCTATGAGCCTGAGGCTAATATCGGGTGTCAGCTCACACTGCCTGCAGCCGTCAACGGCTAAACCCCACTCCTCTGCTCTCAGAAATATACATCCTGACATTTAGCTTAAAAGGAATCCTCTAAATGTCATTTTTTTAAAGAATCTAAATGATTCTTTTAGCGTGTTTAAAGTCCCATTGAGCAGCTGATTGTAGTTTTTTTAAACATTTATTAAGAATAACATACAGATTATTAAGACAAAAGAACAAGACAGAAAAGGATGAACTTTATTATTTATGTAACAGTGTCATCAGAGTCCAATGTGGATTATTTAAAAATGGCAAAAAAATCAGCTGACACATTAATCCGTGTAATATTTGTACACACTGCTGTCGTCACCACACCTCATAAGCTCTGAGGATAAATCTAGAATTATTTTTCTGTTAACAAATGCCAATCGGCTAATAACTTCAGCTCTAAAACCATCTCAGGCTCAAGCTTGTGCTTATTTGCAGGGCAGTGTAGAAACTGTTCAGTAATTTGTTGTTGTTTGACTGCAGCAGAACACTGTGGATGTTATTGATGTAGTTTGTTTAGAGTTTCTTAGGGCAGCTGTGAGAAAAGGAAATGAAGGAGCACAACTGTGGCTCTTATTGATGTGCTTTGATAGGTTTTTAGCTACATTATAACAGGAATGGCCTCTGGTCTTTGGATTGAATTAACACCTGGCAGAATCAAATCTGTGCAAACGTTAGCTCTAATTGGATTTAGTACCAAGAAGAAAATTAAAAACAAAGTATGAATTGAAAATATTTGGTTTAGGACATTTTGGGATAGCTAGAGTGAATATCAGATTTTATACATGTAAAAGCAACAAAGGTATCAAGTCAAGTGTAAAAAAATTAACAACTAATTATCAGCTGATCGTATTTGTATACTACTGTGTTCTTTTCTCACTAATCCCACAGTTTAGTAACAACTTGTATGTATGGATTAATTTTCTGTGCTTATAAATCTTTACAGAACACTGATCTTAACATGTTCATTGGCATTTATATTAGATGGATACACTTTGATCACAGGTGGCATTTTTTGAAGATATGTACATTTTCTCTTATTGCTTTAAAAATTAGCAAATCAGAGTTCATCCTGATGCATTTTCACAGCTAAAATAAATGTTGCTAGTTGGTGTCGACTCTAGCTCACACCCCATGGAACCATTTGGTGTAAAACTCCAGGGTAACAAGAACAGAAAGACAATGAGATTGTTCAACCGAAGTGTGATTAGTTAAATGAAATAAATAATTTCAAGTCAAATACATGTCTAAATAATTCTCTAGTTAGGATTTAAAGTTGTTTTCAACATCAAGAAAACAGTTTTCAATCAAATTGGATCATTTCTGACTTGTCATCTTGCAAAAAAACTGCAAATGTCAAACGGCTGATGGGGTAAAACCCAACTAAATTGCCTAAACTGGCAGCAGAAATATGATGGCAAACTATGAAAGTAGAATGCACAAGTCAGTTCTAGTGTATGCTTGCAGATGCACGTTAGTTTAAAACAAACGCAAAACTCATGAAGTCTGTGAACAGGCTGCAGGGCTCAGATCCGACATTTGTGTTGGTTGGTATTTGATAAGCTAAAGCAGATAGAAGCATATTTCTGCTGGGCTCCCATGTAACGAGGTGTACTGGCATTGTTTTCTAGAGAAGCTACCAGCTGTTGTCACTACATCTGTATTTCAGGCTGGAACAGAGTGGCTTTGAGACCCTGAGCTGCTCGTCTTTACTCTGATGTTCACTGTTTACACAGCAAACTTAATCAGACACAAAACGTGTCCGTGAACACTGTAGCTGGTTTTACCTGAGCAATTTTCTCAATGGATATTAAAAATTTTAACGGGCAGCTGGTATTGCAAAAATAGTTTTGTTTTTTGAGTAACTGCAGGCTGACGAGGTATGAATGAGTGTTCATGGATATGTATTCATTTGAGATTCTGGTATGTCCTACAAAAGATGTAAAAAGTACTAACAGTCTGTACTCAAGTACAGGTAGTCTGGTAAAATATTGGCCTGCATAACAAAGTAACAAAAGTGTACTCTGAGTAAAAGTTACCTAATTACTCTTTTTTTTTTTGACAGCAGCAAGTGGGAACCCAGCTATCCTATTTTATACACACATAGCTGGGTATCCCACAAAACAAAGATAGTTTCTGAAGCTTGACAGCTTGACCTGTCATCCACATTAAAGTGAAAATAAACGCCACCAAAAACATGTCTTTAAAAATTGTGACTGAGGTGGAGATCTGCGAATTCTCAGTTGTCAGGATTTGCTTGTAGACGGAGACAACCAGGGTTTTAGGTTCTGCAACATCACCGCCCATAAAGATGCAGTGACATTGCGTGTGGGACCTGTGTTTACAGAAACACGGATGCCCTCAGCCGTGTTGGTATTATCGATTATCCAAGCAGTTTTTGCTTGCCTGCTTTCACAAGCTCAATTACTGCAATGCTATGCAGAAAGTCACAGGTGAAGACAACATTAAGGACTGTTATTGCCTGCCAACTGTGACTTTATTAGCTTGCATCTTCATGTACAAACTGCTCTGTGGTATGTTTCTATGTTTCTGTCCTGTAGATAAGCAGTCTCAAAT